AGAGAATAGAAGTTACCTCACTATATAGTTCACTTCTTTTTGGAGTAAACCTTGAAATTTTGCATAATCCTTCCAGTTTTTGGAAATATTTATTTTTAAGTTATAGTTTCCGTGAGAATTGTAATATGAGCATAATCTAAATTATATTATATGAATGCATACTTTATTGACAACTTGTACTTGTGCTGCATCTTTAATACAAAGAAAAATGCTATACAGGGACATAATTAAAACAAAAACAGCTTCCAAGTAAGAGATGGGCTGATATCCTTCCTAATAAAAGCCCGACCAAAAGAAGTGAGTTTCAAGTAGGGCCTTAATAAGGAGAGGCTGCAGATAAAGAGGTAATTCCAAAGTGTCCATGGAGGGGCTAATACACAAGAGGCCATAGATTGTAGGAACAGGAAATTTGGAGGAGTTCTCAGATTGTCTATTTGTCTGTTATCTATTTGGTCCAACTTTGCTCAGAACTGTCGTTTTCAGCAAATGTCAATCTATGCAATATACCTTTGTGGTGAAATTCAATTGTCAATTATATATGAATGCACAATTATGAATCCTGCACACAGACTAACGTTGGTCCATCACTTTTTTAAAATTAATTCATGGGATGTGGGCATCACTGGGTGAGCTAACATTTATTGCCTACCCTAGTTGCCCTTGTGATTGTAGTACTTAGCTGTTGCCTTGAACTGCTATAGTTCATTAGATGTAGATTAAACCACAATGCTGTTAGGGAGGGCGCTCCAGAAATTTGGCCCAGTGACACTGAAGAATGGCAATAAGCTGCCAAATCAGGAATGGTGAGTGGCTTGGACAGGAATTTGTGGGTGGTGGTGATCCCATGCACCTGCTGCCTTTATTCTTCCAGACAGTACTGCGTGTGGGTTTGAAAAATGCTGTCTAAGGAGCCTCAGTAAATTGCAGATGGTACACACTACTGGTACTGTGTATTGGTGGAGGAGAGAATATGTATGTGTGGGGATGTGATGCCAATCATGCAGGCTGCTTTGTAATATCTGCAATATTCGGCTAAATTTTTTAGGATTCAGTCTCATTTCACAGAACAAGGAGTTTGAATGATTGTATATTAACATTTTTAGAAACCAATATATCAATAACGGGGATGTTGTCATGACAGGGTGCTGTAAATCAGCCTAATATGTAACAGATGAATTAGAAATTATTGGCTTTTCTTTGCTGCCAACTTTTGAAGTTTGCTGGAATCACCTAGTCCGAGCAGCCTGTCTGCATTGTTCATTTCTACCCCTAGTATGCAGATATTTTGAAATCTTGTTTATGAAGTTCATTAATACCAGGCCCAATCTAAATGACTCACTTCTTGATTTTATTAATGAGTGACAGAATGCTTCATCATTCCATTTTCAAAATGGGCAAAAACTTAAGGTAAGTATTCAGAGAAGAAAATGTTACTTCTCTGTACTACACCTTTAAAAAAAATGGAAGTGTAAAAAAATGTTAAATCCTTCCATGATAAGCAGTGGAGCAAATTCAAACTGACCAGAACACCAAACAGAGCCTTATGAAAACTGAGTAAACATTTTGCCAGGACCTACATCACTAAAACTCTCATTTTTAAAGGAATGAGATGCAGACCTTTTATAAACGAAACTAGACAATGAACTCTGCTTCAAGCTTCAATACCAGCAAAAGACAACTTAAAAAACCTTTTAAAGTCGCAGTTCTTACTATCTTTTAAAGTCAAAGATGCTTGCAGGGAGTTGCATTAATTTCTTCTGCAAAGATAGATTTTAGACATTTGAAACGGTGCATGTCAATTCGTCTTTAGAAGAATAAACACTCAATAATGCTAAATGCAGCCCATTAATAATCCCATTGATGTTATATTTACGATTAAAATGAGCAACAGAATTATCAGTTAAGCTTTGCCAACACAGTCAAGATCAGTAATAGCATAGGACTACTATATCAATGCAAGAGTTACAACACTTTCTCCTGAACTATTCCAATATTTTCCTTGGGTGATAAAGATTTAGTCAGAATTTTCTAAGAGTCATAATTGTCTGTGATCATTTCATTTAGTATTGAAAGCTAAAATAACTGCTAAAAGCAAAGCAAAGCAAATTCAAATAAACTTACTATCAATTAAGGGGTTAAATGTTTCATCTGCATTTTCAACAATTAATATTTTGTTAAGAGTACCATCATAATAAAATATCAAACTACTGTCCAAGCATGCAGCCTAAATTTAAAAAAGTAAAATACTGTGGAGGCTGGAAATCTGAAATAAAGATGCAAAATTCTGGAATTCAGCAGGTCTGTCAGCATCTGACAAGGGAGAAACAGAATCAACTTTGGAATACAGTAAAGCTCTTCAGAACTCAGTTCATACCCGACTCAAAACATTAACTCTATTTCTCTCGTAACAAAGACTGCCAGACCTGCCATTTTCCCCAGCACTCAATGCAGATGAAGTTGTCTGGCTTACCAAAAAGAATTCAGTATCCAGTGTACAGATATATTATTCCTGCTTCTGATCTATTTCAAAAAAAAAGGTACAGGGCCACACTAAGAACAGAACTATATGAGGACCTAAGGTCAATCTCCATAATGATGCAGTGGCCCCTGACCTACCACATAGGTATAACACTGAAGTGTTTTAATCAACAATATAGCATATAAACAACACACAACTATTTAAGCAGCAGTAACGCAAGGGCAAGAGGGAACAATATTTAACAGCCGTCCGAGTTGTAGCAACAATCAATGCAAAACGAACAGCTAGATCGGGAAAAAGTGTATTTCTATGTTTGTGAATATCATGACTGGAAGTGACAAATGATCACAGTGTCATCTTGAAATCCATCCGTTATGAAACGATGGATTAATTTCACTATCAAATCAGGAGTTTAATTTTTTTAGTAGGTAGACATATTCTCCCAATTTATTCTGTATTATCATTCGAGCAAAGCAACATTTCAATCACAGCTCATGTAATAAATACAAACTGACGGATGTACACGGACCACAAAAATCCACCCACTCGCATTCCTTTAACCTGCTACGTGCATGCAGCTTTCAAACTTGGGCTTACATTAAACAAGTTCTCAAAATTAATTCCACCATTAGTGCGGAACAAAATAAAAACATGCATATCAAATACAAGTTACACTTCAGAAATTTAGGAGTAATGGTGGAGATTGAGGCTGCTCAACAGTACTGCAGTACGCACAGCGTTAACATACTCTCGACATTTGCACAGGGGCGTTAACTATGAATGAAAGTAAAATGCCATTGCCCAATACAATTTGCAAATCAAGACTTGGAAAGCCGTAAGGTTTTTGACATCAATTCAACTTTAAAAAAAAAAATACAGACGAAAAACGACACGAAATGATTCGCTAAGCCTCGATTTCCCCCTTGGAGAATTGCCACATCTGAAGTGGAACTGCGCAGCGAGGAAAGACTCGAGATATATTTATGGCGTTCATATTTATTATGCTCCTGAAGGATGCAATCCCCTCACATACAAACATCTCTTTATAATCCTGTATGTTATATGTCCAGATATCAAGCGTCTGAAGGAGTCAAGTGATATTTACAAGGAACACATGAATTGGGGTTTGGGGTATTTTCGAGGAAGTGATCTTGGAGCATTGTCAGCTGGATAGTTCAGTGATGGTGTCTAACCCCCGCAGAATGGGGGTCTGTCACCCATCCCCAGAGCCCCTCTATCCCTACTCCAAACCCTCCCACTCTTTTCACCTGCCCCGTTCTCGGATTGTCTGCTTCCCTCGCTCCCTCATCCATTCTCCAGTTCCACTCTGGGACACCCCTCTCATCCAGCACCCCCTGAAGAAATACCCTCCCCCCTCCCCCTGTTCACAATTCCTCCTCCCCCACCGCAGCATGTCTGGCCCCTCACCCTATATCGGGTGAAGAGGAATTGTCTGCCCCCTGGGGGATTCAGGGGGGATGATCCCTTGGGGGGGGAAGAGAGGGAAGGGGGGTGTCTGTTCTCTACGATCCCGGTAGAGGGGTGGTCTGTTCTCATTTCCCCACCCTTGGAGAGGGAGGGTCTGTCTTTATACCCCAATCCCTCGGGGGGGGGGGGGGGAGGGTGGTCTGAATGGTGGCAGCGACCCCATTCACCCCACCCCTCCCCTAGTGGCTGTCCCCAGCCCCAGTGAGGGAGTTGGGGTGTGTGTCAGTTCCCTCCCCTCTCCCTCCTATCTGGCACTCTCCTTTTCTTCCTAAGAGGGGGCTCTGCCCCCTTGTACGAAGGAAGCTCCCCTTCCTCCTCTACCCAATTTTCCTGACCCGCTCGGGGGTGGGGGAAGAAAGGCGCCCGCCCGCACCTGAAACCCTCACGCTGTCCGGGAGGGGGATGTGGGGGAAGAGGGGATGGCAGGGGAGAGAGAGGGGCTCAGCCCGTCACTCACTCACTCACCCACCGGGCCGGCAGCAGCCGCACAGACTCTTCCTCAGGCACTCGCCTTCCCCCTTGGCTCCTTCTCACCGGAATAATAATAAATAATGATTCATAATAAACTGGAAGTGTTTGCACAGTTCGAGGAGAAAAAAAAGGGGTGGGAGGGAAAAGGTTGAACGTATGCAGAGGCCTATCGGGGGGGGGGGGGGGGGGGGTTTTAGTGGTGCGGTTTAACACTTTCCTTCCAGAATGATCTTTCCCCAATGTGTCCCCCCCCCGCCGCCAGGGGCCCGGCGCGCTGCGCGCGGTTCAGGCCGGGCCGACGTGGCCAGTCCCAGTCGGTGCCGGGGAAGGGGGAGGGGTGGGGTGAATGGGGTCGCTGCCAAATACTGCGCTCTCCATTGACCAGCAGCGGCGACGGCTGCCGTGCGCCTGCGCACTGCCTGCTCCGCACCACCTTCCCCGCGCACCTTTGCCTAAGAGTGGCGGCGCGGGCAGGCGCGGGGCTGGCTCGCGATCCGTTCCTTCCAAAAGCCACCCCACCACCACCACCACGCCGACGACGACGAAACTCCCTGCCACGCACCTCGATCAGACTTGAATTTCGGCGGTGGGGGAAGGGAGGGAGGACGAACGCACCCATGACATTACAGATATCCGGCTCCGGGAATTACGACGCTCCATAACCGGCATTTAAAGAGATCGCCGCTTTGCGCGTGCGCGGCAGCCCGCCTCGCTCACGAGCTGTCAAGTTGTCAATCACAGTGTCCCTCGGTCTGGCCGCACAGAGCTCTCTCGCACACCTTATCTCTGTCTCTGTGTCTCCCCAGTGTGGAATATATGAATTCCACCAACAGCTGCGTTCTCAGCGTCCCCGCTTCCGAATGCATTTAGTACTGCAATCCAAAACCTGAGTCAGCAACGTTACAAAACGCATGTTTTGTAAGCTGCTGCAAGTACGCGTTCCCCCTTCCTAAAACCTCGCTTCCAGTTTTCTTTTCCGTGACAGCCACAGTTTGGCTTTGCTACGCGAGCTGTACTCTTGTTACATGCTGTAATTGCACCAAGTGAGTCCAACTGGGTTCAAAATCCACGGAGACAGACAGATATTTTGCAAACACGCCCTCCGACTTTTACAGAAACTGCATTCCAAGTGTGCTTATACTGTATTTTTAAACTCGCAGCTCAGCACTGCAAGTACTTAACAGTAAATTGCAGCAAATATGTCTCATTGTCGACAAAATAAACGCATTGGTCTCCATTTGAGCCCATTATAACTTAATACAGTACTTTTAAACTGAACCTTTGTTTTTCCCACAGTTATCTGGCAACTATCCCAGTTTGTCCAATTTGAAGGTTTCGATTTTCTTAAACAGCCAGCCAGCTCCTCACATTTAGTACCCTTTTGCTAGTACAGGTTCTAGTGAAATTATTATCCATTTTGAAAGCTGCCGCTTTATTTTAAAAATAATTATACAACTTAGTACAAAACAATTCAATTTACATTCTTACTGTATCACATCAAAACGGGTGAAACGATAAAATCTGAACTAAAAACGCGTTTACTTTTGACTCAAGGCATCAATATAAAATCACTTTTAGGTGAACGCACTGGTTCAGAACTTCAAAGCGTAATAACAATAAACAACACAGCCGTGTCGTTAACAGTAACCGCTTTCGCACGTCTATTTTGTAATTTAGGAACCGTCCCTTGCACCTTCATTTACAAGTTCCTAGTATGTAGAAGGAACATCCCTCTGCAGAAAATAAAAACCGAAAGAACTGCGGATGCTGTAAATCAGGAACAAAAATAAAATTGCTGGAAAAGCTCGGCAGGTCTGGTAGCATCTGTGAAGGAAAAAACAGAATTAACGTTTCGGGTCCGGTGATCCTTCCTCTGCAGAAAATGACGTGTTGCAGCATAGGCACCCCGAATTTAAAATTTGTGGTTTAAAACAAATGTGGCATTTTGAAATCCAAGGGCATATGCATTATTAACAACTTGGCAGAAGATTTTATTTAGAAAAGCATACTCTCCAGGAAACTTTGCTTAATATTTGGTGGCATAGACTCGCCGTGATTTTCTGTATATCGGTTACTGGCAAACATGACCAATAAATCTAGTGATCTCATTGTTTTCAACGTTCACCCATATCTCCCAATGTAAACTTTGGTAAATCATAAAAAAAGTTTTACCTCACACGAGTATCTTACCTTTGAACGGACCTTTAACAGTAGAAAGCAAAGCTGTGATCTGGGTTGGTAATATAGTGGTTTTCATATTAGCGATGTGTGGGCTGACCTCGCAATCATGCTTACCTTGCGTTATAAATAAGCTATACATATACCACGCATTGTAGGATGGGCAGTAGTGAAACAGAGTTTCCATGGATTCTGCAGCCTCAGACACTCATTCTTGTAGGTGTTATCCCCACTGGCCAAACTGATGGATGACGAAAGCAGCATCTCAACTGGTCAAATTCTATTCTAGGTCAATTTCTGTAGAAAATTGTTCCATTTAACAAGGTTTTGCAGTAAAATATTGCCTGGAGGATTCTACCATTTTTTCACTGTAAGCTATTTGCTTTCTGTTTCAGGTCGATGTTCAGCTATCTGTCCACGTGGGTTTAAAACCTGACCTGAGAAACGAAAGGAGGCTGTCTTTTCTCTCAGATTGTCTTCCCACACCATTTATTTCTCACTTCTTCCTCAATCCTTGCCCTACCCAAGAATCCTAGAGACAACTTGCCCGAAAGCAGGTTGAGATCACTTTGAGAGGAATTCATATCCCCTACCTCTCGCACTATGAACACAACACCCTTTTGTGGTAATGACACGCAGTATATATGCAAAATTATCATGGTTAACTTGCTTCATGTCGGCTCAACTTGTACATTAACTACATTAGGAAAGTAATGTTTTATTTGCGCGCCGTCGGGCATCTTGCTTGACATTAATGCTGCTAAAATGTGGAAATTTGAGAACATGTAAATAGTTGTTTTTAGCCAGACTTGACTGCAAAAAGAAACGTATATCATGGACTGCTATGCTTTATGTCAGAAATCACATGACACCAAATATGGAACACTGCACAGTTCCTGTCTCTATATCGGAGAAAGGATATAGAGATACTGAAAATTTGTAAAAAGGTTCATAAAGATGGTAACAGAGCAAAGATAATTTACTTAGTGAGAGAAGCAAACAGGCTAGTGCTCTCTTCTTCAGATAACAGGAGGCTGAATGGTGATCTGATAAAGGTCCTTAAGATGATAAAGAGTTTGATAGGCTGGAGGTTAAGATAAGGCTTTCACTTATGGAGCAACCCAAGACATAACGACATACATATATTCAGCCACTAATAAACCTAACAGCAAAGTTATTTTGACCAAAAGAGTAGTATGAATGTGGAATACACCTCTGCAAGTTACAGAATTCTTACTGGTCTCTTGCATTTTATTTATTCAGTATGGATAATTTTTCATATTGATCAAACGGTATAAGAATAAAACCAAGACATTTTTTCCATTGTCTTTTTAGAATGATACACTTGGTTTAAAGAGCTGCTGGAAGTTCAGTTCAATGACGTTCTACCTATTTGTTCAGGGAAGGTGGATGCAGCAACCACAGCCTGTATTGACATTGTGCCTTTAGCATTGTCAGCATACCAAAGTGTTTGACCTGAGTGGAAATCCGACAATAATTAGCATTGACCCAACAAAGGAAACATTAGAATAGGTGACCAAAAATTTGATGGATGTCTAAGGTGAACTTGAAGGAACATATTAAACAAGGACAGAGAAGTGGGCATGTTTGCAGAGAGCACTGCAGAGAACAAGGGCTCAAAGACTGAAAGCATGGCCACCAAGGATGGAATCATGGAAGTGGGTATATACAAAAAGTCAGAGTGTGAGGAAAGCAGAGTTCATGGGGGATTATAGCTTTGCAGAAAAGCATGCATTAATTATCCATCACTACTTGTCCTTGTCTACATTGTTATAAATCCTAACTGCTGCTGTCTTTATAGTCGTGATGCTTCCTTAATGGGGCTAGGTATAGCCTTCTAAAATACCGTTCCAGTAACGGTGAAGTAACACTGATTTTTGTCTAAGCTGAAATGGATTGCGACTTTCTATTCACTCAATATTGGTACTCTTGGCATTCTTGCAGGTAGACATTGAGAGAACAGGTTTCTTGCTAAAATAATTCTGGTGACTTGCTGCAGTGGATCCAATCGATAATGTAGCCAAAGTGTATGAATGACAGGTGGGATTGATTTTGTCTTACAAGCATGAATCACATATTCAGCTGGCAAATTTATGTAAATAAACACTCTTCATAGGGTCAGTAGCTGTGCAGGGGCCGTAGAATACTGCAAAAGATCTTACTACTGACTGGATATCACCTTAGTTGTTGAAAAGTTTTTTTTTCTGATATATATCTTTAAAATACACACATTAATTAATTGCATCTTGAAATACAAAGTAAAATTTCAAAATTTGCTGATGACACCAAACTTGGAGGAATGTCAAGGAACAAGGATTATATTATTTGACTGTGACAGGATATAGGTCAGGTTAGCACAATGGGCATGCAGGGGGCAGATGAAATTTAATACAGAGAAGTGTGAGGACATGCATTTTGGGTGGAGGGGATAGGGAAAGTCAATATTGATTTAATGGCATATTTCTAAAAACTAGAGAGGGACTGATAGACAGGCATTTGTGAAGTCAGCAGAATATATTAAGGGAGTTAATAGTGAAGCATGTGGAATCCTTGGTTTCATAAATAGATGCACGAGGAACAAAAGCAGGGTAGTTATGCAGGACCTTCATATAGGTCCCAGTCACATTACAACTATGTATAGTATCCACATCTGGTCATCACATTTATAAACATACGAGCGTATAAATTAGGAGTAGAAGTAGACCATTCAGCCCCTCAAGCCTGTTCTATCATTAGATAACGTCATGGTTGGTCTGTTTGTGTTCCAAATTCCATCTATCCCTGACGATATTTGATACTCTTGCCTAACAAGAATCTATCTAACTTTGCTTTAAAAATATTCAATGACTCTGCCGATACCATTTTCTAGGGCAGAATTTCAAAGTTCCACAAGCCTCACAGAAGAAAAAATCCCTCATTTTTGTCCTCAAAGGGTGACCCTTAATTTTAAGACTGTTTCCCTTGATCCTAGACTCACACACAGGAGTAAACATTCTCTCCCTGTCCATCTTGTCCCAACCATTCAGGGAGGATGTGTGTTTGAGATGTTAAAAGGGAGATTTATTAAAATAGTTCCAGGGATGAGAAATATTCGCTGCAACATTAGAAAAAGCTCAGTTTGTTCTCTCGAAGAAAAGAAATTTGGGTGGAGATTATGAATAGTTTAAATAAGATAGGCAAAGGAATACTGCTGATATTAGCTAATCATACAGATCTAAGGTTTTGGCTAAGGATTGCAGGGTGGATGCCAGGAAGAACTTTAAACTGTGAGTGACAATGCCAGGGACAGCAGTGGCCAGGACTGGGACAACAAGCAGTCTTGAGATTCTATGTCCCAGAGGCCAAGACTGAGTTCATGTAGGTGTGTCAGTCTCGTTACAGGTCTGTCACTCTGCATGCCTTTCTCTCTCTATGTCCCACGGCAGAGGAAGGACTGGGGGAAGGATGTGGGAGTCTTAATAGAAAGGGTATGCCTGCAAGACAGACC